GCAGCAAGCAAGCGAGTAGATTAGCCAGAACATGTTGAACAGAGGTTGGCCGGGACACGGAAAAGAGATGAACATGGAAGCCGATGGCATTGGAAACAGGAGTAAAAAAAACTTGATTGAATTGGATCGCGAGTCCCAAGACACAAGAGCGACAAGAAGAGACCAGAAAGTGCGGACAGGAGAGAAGATAGGGTGCGCGAATCATTGGGGAAGAACATGCGAACATGTTCCGGGTCGTGAGTGGATGACTGTAGCTGTAGTCATAGCACGGACGAAGCGTTGGTTAAATGTATTAGACAGACAGACAGACAGACAGACAGACAGACAGAGAGAGAGAGAGAGAGAGAGAGAGAGAGAGAGAGCAGGCGTGATGGAGTACACTACTGACTCTACAATAAGATGACAGTAGGATAAATTACAGAGATTACACGAAGAAAGCAATGCACACGCGTATGTGCACCTAAGTATCGATATGGGAAAAGGACGTGATCAATAAAATCCTAAGTGAAAGTTTACAACCGTATCCTTTTGAAATGACACTGTAAGTATGTGTGTGCACTATCGCATGGCAGGATAGGAGATGAGTAAAAAAGAAAGACAAGTGTTTACGGCAATTGGGGAGAGTGTGAGTTCCACAACGCGATGACTTGTTTGCGGGGGTGGGAAGTATGGCTACGAAAGCAATTAGAAAAAATTAAAGGAGGGGGCAGGGGTAGGAGATGAAAATTATCGAATTTGAATGTATATGGGCGTGTCTGAGAGAGAGATAGCTGGTTCGATGGCGCATCCGAAAACATGAGCTCCTATGAATGAATAAGTATTTTTGTGGGACGGCGTGGACAGGCAGGGGCAAACCGGGTAAATCGATGTGAACAAAGGGAACGATTAAATCCTATCATGGAAAATGGAAGAGAAATCGGTGGAAGAGAAATTTCATAGCTAAAATAAAAAGAGAGGTGATGATGAAAAGGAGGATGAGGGTATGGCAAATGATGAGCACAGGAACCCAGATCATGATTAGGCTAATTGCAATTGTGTATCAATCGCCGAGGAATGGGAAGGAGGAAACGAAAAAAGCACGGTGTTTCTCAAAAGAACGGACGAGGGTAGGTATTTGGAGATGAACCTATTTACAGTGTGAGAGATTTGGGGAAAACGTCAGGAAAATAGAATGCAGACAGAAAAGAGCTCCGAGATGAAGACTAAAGCGAAGACTGGCATGCATAGATTTGATTGGGAGGCACCTGACGGTGGCCACGATGACAATCGTAAACGCGGACCCGTTCTGCATGCAAACAAGTGCTAATCGGTCCCACCCGCATGTCATCTCGAACTGTTTGATGGTAGGCACAGAAACACGACTGCACGAAAATGTAAGAGCGACGAATGAATAAAGAGAGGTGGGTAGGATGAAAGCTTTACAACGTCAGACCGTGTTTTTACGAACCGCGTGGGCGGTATAGAACGCGGCTAACTGACGGCGATGAAATTGTTCCACCCGATCCAATGCGTGCTGAATAGCCCGCATCCAATCCGTCACGAGAAGATCCGGTCCGAGTGGCTCTGATGGAAACAGGACCTCTGGGTTTCGATCTGGTTTACTGGCAGTGCGATTTACCTTCAACGTGGCCGCTCTTCTTGTAGACGGACTAAATTGGGGTGATGTGAACATACCGGGAACCGAGGAACCACGAGGACGTCCAAATGTGCTAAAACTGAATGGGTTTGGTGATACTGTAGGTTCCGCCGGTTGCCGAAGGGATGCGCTGCCGGGCATACGGTGTGTGCTTCGCCGTAGCCATTGAAGTGGACCGGTACCTGCACGAGCCAATGTGGGAGCGGGTTGACCGGAAGGGGGCGATTCACAGAGTGGTCGGAAACGATATACCTTGTTCCGGCTAGGGTCGGTCAATAGGAACGACAATGGGTCAATCGAGCCATCGCGATGTCGACCTAAAGCCAACTGGGCAATCGCGTAGTCATATGGGCCA